TATTTTTAAAAAATCTTTTATAGATATTTCAAAGCCCTATCACTTTTTTAAAATCTGAGAATGTATAAGCATTCCGAGTTTCACCTAAGTAGACCCTACCAAGTCTCTGTCTCTGGGTCCAATCAGGTGCAATTTAGGACACTTAAATGTACCCTGACTAAATGTAATTCTGACTCACATTACAAGATGGTCAGAAAGGAACTCTGTAATCCGTCCCTCTGTGCTTCATATCAAAGTGCTAGAAATTATCTTGCGTTGGAGCCTGTCACCATATCGTTATGAAAACAAAACTAAAATGCCGAACCTCGATTTCGTACATTTTGGGTGGATTGGTCATGGCCAACCCACCCAAAATATGCCTTATGATAGTTTACTTAGGCCTTTTTTATTTGCCGCAAGCTCATGATAATGCTACTGTTTGCTGACATATTATCTTTTTTTTTTAGCAATGCCATAGTACAGTAGCACTTGCCTCGTACAGTAATTTATCCAATACAGATGCTTTTGCATTATTTATAGTCGAACCTCACCTAAGTCGAATAGAAAGTTGCTGTGGTAAATTGCATGAGGTATTTTTTGTTTATCGTCGATCATGTGTGGAATGTTCCATTATTTTATAGTATGGAGAATATTATTATGCTCATAATTTTGAAATGTTTAATGTAAAACAATGACGAATTTTTGACTATTGCATAGTCAACATGAGCGAGGTTGACTGAGTAAATAGTAATTGAAAAATTAAGCTTGTACGTGCATCTTGCAAAAATGCCCAAACGAACTCAAAAATAATTTTAAACTCGATGTAACTTTTATTTATTTTTAGTTTACTGTGAGGGTGGTTGGCACGTGTGGTAGTGATTTGGTCTCTTGACGTTGATGTTAGGAGTTTGAATGCTGCGCTGTCCATTGGCTTGTTTCCTTAGGCAAGACACTTTAAAAGCACATTCATTGTCTTTCTCTGCCCAGGTGTAAGTGGGTACCTAGGCTGGTAGGCATTTTGTCAATAATGCGCTGACTCAGTAGCGGCAGTTGTGAAGTATGTTCCAGTGGAAATATTGTGCAACACATGCTGTAGCTACATTAGTGATATGCGCTATATAAGAATCCATTTATTTGTTATTATTTAACTGGGATATCGTGTTAATTTGAGCTATTTTCCTGGCTAACTTATCAATCATTGGAGAGTAGGAGACAGTGCAACATGAGAGTAGGATATGGGTTTAGGTTTTGGGTTGACAATGAATTTCTGGCTTTCCTCTTCATACATTTCTACGTCTGGGTGTACAGACGTATCTCGCTAGTATTATTGAATTTAGAAGCAGTCTTGCAACCCTAAGATATGTTTTGGCTACCCAAATTTGAGTCGCGTCCTATTGTATGCATATGTTCGGAAAATGGTAAATTCATGCTAGCACGCTATTAGCATAGCATGAATTAAGAAGGACATGTCAAAAAAACCTACAAATTTATTGGTTAAGTTATAATTGTGGAACAAAAAAAGTACCTCTCACAATTTCACTTGCTGAAAACATGGATGGTTAGTGGCATAACCACTGCAGGTAACAGGTTGTTTGAACCTGGGCCCCCAAGCTCCAGGGGCCTCCGATATATAAAAAAAATCTATAAGCAATGTTAACTGTGACATTGAACTATTGTATCTGCTACCTTCCAGCGAATGGCGTAACACCTTGGCTGGGGCCCTGTGGCTTTCATAGACCATGGGGCCATTTTTGGCTCTAACTGAAATCACGTCCACTGTTAGACATGTAAAGGATAGTCAGGGCCGTCGGAACCGCTCCGGTTGGCCGGACCACTTTTTCTCTGTTGTAATATAGCATTTTAAAATAAATATATAGACCCCTTGCAATGTTTACATTGAACCTGGCTGAAACGGGAGGCAGAAAGGCTATCTTAATACACTGTCTGAGTTTATATTTATTTTTGTTGTGCCAAAAATATGAAAGCTACATGGATGAAACTCACATATGACATAGTTACATATATTAGGAATCGACAAAAAATAAAAATCTAAGAAATTATATTTTTCATGTTTTTATTAATTTTTAAACTGATTTTCGTCATCTTTTCGGATGTTGCCAAGTGTGAGAGCACTAGACTAAGAAACTGAAGTTTCATTACAAGACGATATCGCAGTTTGGCCGTTCTACAATGGACGCTGAAAGCAACATAGTGCAGAAATTTTGCCTATGAGTTAGAAGCAAAGAAAAATGCATCCCAGGAGATATTCAATCCATTTTACTCCCTTAATATTACTTTTAAGAAACTATAACGTCTACCAAACATTGCTGTAATGATTACTTTCCGAGTAATTATTCCATTAATTAACGAATACTTAAAAACATTAGTAAAGTTTAGCCTATTTGAGGCCCTTCATACCGGCGGAGGCAATGTGGCCACACTCTTTCGCAACATCCGATAAAATAAGTTTAAAAATTGAATAAGGATAGAAAAAATAAAATTTCAATTTTTATTTTTGTTGTCGATTCCTATAACTATGTCATATGTGAGTTTCATCCATGTAGCTTTCATATTTTTGGCACAACAAAAATAAATATGCCATTATTTTATAGTGGATAGTGTTTTGTCCAATTTCTTATTATTTATACTTTAGAAACAACTAGTAGTAGAAGAATAATAAATGCCAGCACAAAAAGTGAAAAGGATTTGAAAATATATTAAATAATTTTTCTCTCAGTAACTAATGTTGCACATACATATTTACACTCTGTGCACCGTAACCCTCGCAATGAAAAGATACATGAAGGCAGATATTCATGAGTTTTTATTCCTGAAAGAAATGAATAAATAAAATACAAATGAATAAACCATTTTTATTTAAAGAAAACAATATTATTCACCCAAAGTAGTTTGTAATCTTTGAAACTAAGAAAAATAATATTTATAATAGCTAATATAAAAAGGCCTAATAATTATAGCTAATAATGATAACAATAATAATGATACAGTAATGATAATTAATGATTTACAGGTCTATACAGTACGTAGGCATATTAAATATGCTATAATACATTAATATAATAATATAATATATATTATAGAGATATAATCTAATTAGGGTAAGTGCCCTGATAGATATGTACAATGTACTTTTATGTCAATCCAAGGTTTAATATACTTTTATTTTCATCATAAAGACTATTTTTTTGGTTGTTGGTACACAGAAATTCAGGGTATATTTGACTTGGGCCGAGTTGTCTTGAAATAGCAAAATTAAAAACTCCTAATATTATAGTAATGATGACAATATTAATTAGAAAACAATATTATTCACCCATAATCTGATCCCTGGATGTTTTTTGAAACTAAGAAAAATAATATTAAAATAGTATTTATAATAGCTAATATAAAAAGGCCTAATAAATAATTATAAATATAATAATGATGACAATAATAACGATACATAATTATTGATTTACAGGTCTATACGTATAGGCATATTAAATATGCTATAATACATTAATATAATGATATAATATATATTATAGAGATATAATCTAAACAGGGTAAGTGCCCTGATAGATATATACAATGTACTTTTATGTCAATCCAATGTTTAATATACTTTTATTTTCATCATTAAGACTATTTTTTTGGTTGTTGGTACACAGAAAATTGTGGAAGATTTGACTTGGGGTCGAGTTGACTTGAATTGTAAACTACAGCATCTACTACTAGGCCTACTCTACCAGGTAGGGCTAGGCCATATGTGTTTACTTCTGGTTTTATATACTATTGCTACCATACTACTGTATGCTAACCTACAACTCCTGCGTAGGAGTTCACATAGGTTGCTCCAAAGCTGTATAGCAAGATTAATGCAAAAACTAATCAATGGAACATCATAAAATTGAGTGGAGTGGTAACAACATGTACTGTACATACATGTACTGTAATATATGAAGAAAGATATGATTTTATTTTTTAAGAAAACATCAAAGATGAAGTTATGAATATTCAATTTTTTTCCCCTATCATAATTCACAAGTATTTCAAAGGCTGACACAATGCAAAACAAAGTACTGTAGATCTCTAGACAATAAATGTGGTCTTGTACAGGAGATTTATAAAAATAAATATTTAATTAAATATTATGAATAAATATACCATTAAATCATAAGAAAAGGGCTTTGTGTACATCTGAAGATGCGTGAAAGCTATGACGTATCTAGTTTGCATTTCGCTATGTGAGAGGTCTACATTTTTTTTCTAGTATCTCTGTTAATTATGCAATATCTTGCAATCCCACTGATTGTTTATTGAATTTCTTTATTTGACTTTTAGGAGGACATACCAGTCATGAATTAAACTACAGATGAGATAAGATGTAATGCTACAACACAGGAGTGGAGGTGGGATATTAAGGCAGAGTTGGGGGGGGGGGCAGTGTTCGTAAGTCAACAAAACCAATAAGGTAAGTCATTTTTAGAACATTATGTTTGCCTTCCTTCGAAGAGTAAAGGTAGACATTTTGTGGGGGTCACAATTGAAAATTCATCTAGCTGGTGCAATTTATCTACCAGTGTATGTTCTTAAATTTCGCTCATTCCATGGTGGGCTGAGGGAAGCTTGTGGAACCCTGCTCTGTTTGGATCCTTGACATCATCACATCAAGGAACTTGACTCTCTTGGATTTTGGACTACTGGTTATTGGGAAATCTCTTGCATCACTAAAAATTGGTGCATACTTGTATATTTGACAATTGAATGCATCAAAACAGAAACAGAAACAACTATCAAATAAATCCAAAATAAACCTCGTAAATAACAGGAATAGAACAGTCTAGGCTGGAAAACCAGTCATTAATGCACCATTCACCGGTTAGATATGTTACATAATTACATAACAGTGAATAGAACAGACTATGTTGGGAAACAAGTCATCACTCTACCGTTCACCGGTTAGGTATTCTAAGTTAAAGTACATGATGGTAATGATTTATTAAATCTTTACATTTTTCAGTTTGAAAGTTAGTGGAACTCGACAGATCGTGTAAAGTTTATAAACCCACTGTAAGAAGTATAAATCTCACAATAAAAATGGAGAAATCAGGTAAAACATTATGCATAATTTTTAGCATTTATATAGTACTGTACTTTCCATATTTTAAAGTTTTATAGCTCTTCAAATTATTTCTTATTTGAAAGCATAACTTTTAAACACAATGGATAACTTTCCTAGCCATAGGTAGGTATTCAGCATGTACACAAAAGGCATTCAACATAGGCTATTAATTGTGTGTACATGATACCCATTTATACTCATGGCAGGACTCATGGGTAAAAATATAACCTTATTCACATGGAGTTTGAAGGATTAGTGTGAGATTCGAACCCCAATTTTGCAGTGTTTTCTCGCAATTTGCTGGGCAGAAAAACAAAATTTGTCAGGGAGGAATACAATTAATATGTATTTTAAAAATATTATTAGACTCTAAAATTAATTAAATAAGCATTTGAAACCCTCAAATTTTCACATTTTCCTAGGACTTTCTCCCCTGATCACTTTACAGAGACACTACCCAACTTGTAATCATATAATGTACTATCATTTCTTTATAGAGTTTGATGAATTGCTGGTAAAACTTTCTACTGCAATCAGCGAATATGATAAAAAGCATATAGACATGTTAAGGGTACTGTACACAGATCTGGTGTTAGCTAAAACAGACTTGGAGGAAGCTAAATCTGCATATAACTTATTTAAATTACTAATAGGACCAGGTATTCTGAAGCCAGCAGACATTTCAGTTTTGTTTGAAACAATTGAAATAACCGGATTTCGATATTTAGAAGAGATAATCGAGAAGTATGAGACATATCCAAAAGAGGTGAAGATCACACGATTTTCAGCACATCGTCAACATGTTGTTGCACTTGGAAGACGCTTTTCAGTTAAAGACATCAAAAGACTTAGTCAAATGTACAGAGGTGACATGCCTTTTGCTAATCAATGGAAGTTGATAGAAGATCTTGAAACAGATGTTTTAACTGAAGATACAATGTCAACATTTCTTCAGTGTTTGAAGGGGACTGGAGGAAACATAGGTTAGTTAGTGAATAGTAATAAAACATCAGATTTACATTTGACGCATCTTCAAATTTTCAGGCTCATGTAGGAAAATATTTTGTGGATAAGTATTTAATATTTGACATGCGATAATTTATTTTAAGGTCAGTTTCAGTTTGTTTTATGTTCAAGAGTATTGACAGTGCTATACACACAATGCCATATAATATATTACACCTGTAAAACCTACTTCATTAATCATAATTTGTTATATTATACAATCATTTCTTTATAGAGTTGCAGGGAATGCTGGTAAAACTTTCCTCTGCAATCACTAAGACAGATGAAAAGCATATAGACATGTTGAGAGTTCTGTACACAGATCTGGTGATTGCTAAAACAGATTTGGAGAAAGCTGAATCTGCATATGATTTATTTAAGTTACTAATAGCACCAGGTATTCTGAAGCCAACAGATATTTCAGTTTTGTTTGAAACGATTGAAATAACTGGATTTAGATATTTAAAAGAGATAATCGAGACGTATGAAACATATCCAAGTGAAGTGAAATTAACACGATTTTCAGAACATCGTCAAAATGTTGTTGATCTTGGAAGACGCTTTACAGTTAAAGATGTCCAAAGGCTTAGTCAACTATACAGAGGCAACCGTCCTTTTGACAATCAATGGAAATTGATAGAAGATCTTGAAACAGATGTTTTAACTGAAGATAATATGTCAACATTTCTTCAATGTTTGAGGGAGCATGAAGTAAACAAAGGTTAGTGAATAGTAAAAAAAAATAATATTACATGTTTTAAGTTTCATCAACATTTCTTGCATAAGTAAGAACGTATTTTCAATTTCTATTCTTTGCAGGAAGTGGAGAAGCATCAACATCAAAAAGAAAAATGTCAGACAAAGGTTTGTAATGTATTGTCAATAATATGTACTATTTGTAAGACCCACTAACACCAGTGCAATGATCTGAAGCTCTAAATGCCATGGAATAACAAATGGAATATGAGTAATAACAAAAATGAGCTCAAACTAAAACAGTGTACAGTATACAGTACCATGGCATGACTAGGGATACATTTTTTTCCGAAAATGGAAGTGATAATCTACAGAATAATAAATTAAATATGAGGAATAACATAAATTAATAGTACTTAAACAATATTCAGATTACCATGGCAATAAAACAATAGTGAGCTTGCTGTCAGAACTTTAGGTACTAGCCTCAGAAAATCCAATTTTCTCACCCTGGGCGTATTATTATTATTTATGCTAAATTTCAATGCTGTTTATTTCACAATTTGTTTATTTTACCTTTTTAGAAAGGTTAAGGTATCTAAAGATCGTAAATAGAATTTAGTGATAATCTTATATCTTGGCTAGACAGTTAGATGGTCAACGGTGATCTGTATATTTCAGAAGAAAAAAAAGGCGGAAACTTCTACTTGGATTTTCTTTTACACTACTCATACTAGGTTGGATATTTGCAAAATAATGGCTGCCCATTTTATTCACATGTTATTATGCTATTGTAATATTTTCCAATTTCTATTCTTTGCAGATACTGGAGAAGCATCAACATCAAAAAGACAAATGTTAGAAAAAGGTTTGTGCTGTGCAGTTGATGTATCATTTTTAAGGCTCACTAACACCAGCGCAATGATCCCTCTAAATGACAACAAATGGAATATGAGTAATAACAAAGATGAGCTCGAACAAAAACAGTACACAGTATACAATACCATGGCATGACAAGGGATGCAATTTTTTCTGAACACCTGAAGTTATAAGCAACATGAAAAATCAATAAATTGAATATGAGATATAAGAAACATGTTGTATAGTACACAAAAATAATATCACATTTATATTTGAAGCATCTTCAACATTTCATGCCTAAGTAGGAAGATATTTATCATGGGGTTAAAAAACCTAACTTTAAATTTATTTACATAAGCAATACAATCGAAAGGTGGCCATGAAATATAACATAGCTAATCAACTTGGCCCCTCTTAACTACAAACATAATCATAACACACTTTAATATCATAATTATATTTAAAAATTATAACAAAAACTGAAATGTAATGACATTGTTACGTCGGGCGTATTTTACTGACTCGATGATATTTGACAACAACACTTTTGCCTTTGGTATATATTTATTAACTGTCATCAAGATCATCAAGACGTAAAATTACTGTAAAATAAGTAAAAACAATGATTAAACAATTAAATTAGGCAATAAGAAACCCACTGCACCTCGACAATACCAATGGTATCAGCCTACCCTATGACTTCATAAATATTCATTTGTGCAGTCAAGCGTGACGAGTCACTGGCGACGGTCTATCATCGAATGTTAACATGCGATGTATTACATAGGCTTATTGCTTATTATCAAACCGTCACTACATTACTAAATCTAACAATTGCTTAGACTTATGATTATAACTCAATAATCAAACGGTGTTCTTCTATAATTATGACTGTACACAGCCGTAATAATATTATAAACAGGAACAACAAATATAAAGATAATACGTAGGCCCAAAGGCTACATGCATTAGTAAGACTGACTCCTTGCCTATTCATGTTGCAGCCTGTGGTCTAGCACAAAACAACAATGGAATGCTTCTCATTCCAAATCACTAATACTGTATTACTGTACTGTTCATATTTACAGTACAACTATATATTCCACAACAAATCATGTACATACCAGTCCCACAACAGCTAAATTAAGGCATAGTATAACGGTGTATTCGACTTCCTAACTTCAAATGGACGCTCTCCATTAACAACATGTACTCGTACAGTATGGCGTCCCTAGTTTCCAACGCGCAACACTCGTTCTTTACCGCACTAAACTTTCGGGACTCTACCATTATACTACAAGGTATGTTATATATGTATGAACCAACAGAGGGCCTCCTATATGAATCTATATTCATCACAGACATCATTAAAATATACTTTAAGATAAGTAATTCTTTAATTTGAACAGAGAAGGCATGTCTTGAGCTGTTCATTTTTTATTGCTGCGAAGCAGCCAATTCATATTCTTGACAGCAATTTGACCTCTGAAAGGTCATTGTTTGTCAAAAAATAGTCAACTGAAAAGCGGAGTTTCCTTCTTTCGTTCTGCCGGGTAAAATCAATTACTTTAGGCGATGTTTGTAGACTAACCTACTCGTACCAACGTCGGCATGTCGCGACGCTGGAGTACTATTCAGCGTTT